CTCTTGATTTTACTTTTGCTTTTTCTAGAAGATTTTTTGTAAGAAGTTACCTTAAATTTTTTTTTTTTTTTAAAAAACTATTTTAAAAAGAATTATTCCTCTTAGAGAAAGCTATGTTGGACCAATTTCCTCTAAAAACACTTTTAATTAAAATAAGTACTTTTACAAAAGTAGCCAACTTGGTCCAAAAACAACTTTTAAGTTTCAAAAGTCTCTTTTGACTTTTCAAAAGCCATGCTAAACGGATCCTATGCTATTTATCACCCCATAAGTCTATTATGAAGAAATTTTACTTTTACCATTTCTAGATCTTTCAAAGAAAAAAAATGAATAAATGAATAAAATAAAAAATGCTTAAGTTAACCATTTTTACACAACTCTTTTTCTCAAACCCATTTTTCAATCACACATTCTCACTTACTTTTTAACCACACATTCTTAAAAAAAAAAAAAAATCATTATTCTAAAACTCATTTTTTCAAAAAAAAAATAAAAAAATAAAAAAATAAAAAAATAAAAGTTAGAATGGTTGTCAAACAGGGGCATAAAATTACACTTTCCATTTTTAAAGAATTTTTAAACAGGGGCTTTAAAGAATGTTCAACTTCTGTTAATGACTGATTTTCTGCTTTGTCATCGCAGGTAGTTAAAAAAAAAAGGAAGAAGCGGTCAAAATATGTTTTTAAATTTATGAGAAAAGAATTTTGTTGACAAAGATTTAAAACAGTAATGTAAAACGAAAATTATAAATTATTAAAATTATTTTTCTGTTAATGACCTAGTTCGATTTAGATCTATTAAAATTATTTTTCTTCAAATTCATTTACAACTTTTTAACCATTTAGGGTTCATTCGAGTTTTTGAAAACTCAAAAAATTGTTTCGAAACTAAGAAGTTACTTTTGAATATATTTGAATAATTTTCTAGTAGTTATTTGTCTGGCTAAAATAAATAAAAAATCTCTTTTCACAAAATCATTTTTCAAAAATCAACATGAAACAAGGGCTAAAAAAGAGAAGGTTCTGTAATGGTCAACGAGGGGTATTCTAGGCACATTACATTTTATTAAAAAATACTTAGAATTGTAAAATAGTGAATAAGTTGTCCAAAACAAATCTTAGGGAGTGTGTGTGTATTTTTATAAATTTGAAGAGAGATTTCTTATCTTTCAGAACTGGTTATGAAGGATGTCTCTTCAATTTGCTCTATTTTTCGTTTCTCAATTGTTATTCTCACTTTACATAGATTTCTTTCGTAAATCTTGTCAGTTTTTATAAATACTTAATTATCATCCCAAAGTTTTGATTTTATTTTAGTTCTTTTCACTTATTATATGTACCGTTATTACATATATTGAACTTTGCAAAGGATCTAGAAGATGAGAAATATGTAATCCAGCATAGTACAAGATGAAAAAGTCTGGATCAAAATTATGACAATTCAACTGAGAGTTTTAGTCAAGAAATAGAAATTCTTTCGTTGGTCTAAAATAAACTATTTCTTAGGGTGCGTTTGAGCCATATTATTTTAGAAAAATGTATTCTGAAATAGTAGATTGATGGAGAATTTGTGGTTGAAAAAGAACGAAAAGTTATTGATGTGATGAAAAATATTATTTTATTGAAAAATATGTGGTTGAAAATGAGAATGAAAATTTTAATGTGTACCAAATAGAGACTTATACTATTTAACTTTTTTCCCCAAAATATTATTTTTATTCAATTTTGCCAGCTTTGCCGCCATGACCACAATCACCACTTGTAATAAAAAATTGTTACACTGGTAACACTTTGTCGTATGTCAACAATCACCATAGCCATCACACATATATATTCAGTGTTACATCACCACTACTGCCACCACCATAACTCCTAACGTAGTGTGTTATGTTGCAAAAATTATGGCTTTCGTCACCATTATTTGTAACATGCTATGTTACACCATCACCACATATTTCCACCATCACTACCACCATCAAAGTCGATCTCCACCGTCACCACCAAATCTATATAACTATCAAACTCGCAAGATCCAACATAATCAAATCTACACTACCATCATCGTCATCATCAGATCTATACTACCGTTACCACCACAGACAACCACTATCACCACCACCATCATCACCAAAGAACACCACAAACCTAACATCACTACCACCCCATCTTACCATCATTACAAACTACCACAAAAACATAAAAATCCACCATCACCCCCATCACCACCACCAAAAACCACTATCCTTCTCACTGTTAAAGAACATGACAAAATTGACTGGGAATAAATGATCCGCAACAGATAGAGGATGATTTATTCAATCACATACTTTGCACTCCTAAAATATGGCACCCTTGGGGCTTACTAAGCCAAGAGCTTCTCGAGGACTGTTTTGTGAGAATCAAGTTGTTTCAGTCAGACCAATAATCGCCGCCTACCATTTTAGGAAAAATCTAGTTCTAAACCATCCCCTTTACTAGTATGTCATGTGTTTCCATCATGGGTGGGTGGGGAAGTTCAATGCTTTCCTTCATATGATTTTGTAAAAATGGCTAGTGATAAGAAGAGGAGGGGAACGGTGGAGGTGAGGTGAATTTGTGAATATAGCCGATGAACATAGATTGAGTGGGTGGGAGAGTTCAATTATATTTTCAAGATTTTGTAATAGATGTCTACTAGCCAGAGAAATACCTGTGACATCATTTTATAATGTTCTATTTTTACTCGCTGAAATGGGAATTTCTGTAAAGCAGTGAGGCCATTTGAGCAATTTCTTTTAACTGTTAGATAATGTAGCATTTATGTATTGTACAAATTTTCAAGGTTGTGGCTCGATATCTACGAAACCAGATCACTTCATTAATTTTACCAAAAGCTTATGTAGGCACACAATGTGGGCATTTCATTAAGCACGTAGCAATCCCTAATGATGTGTCAGCACTCTACTCACTCACAGTGAGAGCAATACATCTCCTTAATACCTCAAAATATTTAGAAAGCAACAGAATTAAGTCCATGCAATTGGCGTTCCTCATACATGCTGCAACAGAATTAAGTCTAGGCAATTGAAATGTGATCTGTTCATGCTTGTCAAGCTGTTCAGTGGCCTACTTGCCCCTGGATAGATTAGTATTTCAAATTGCGTCTTTGTAAATAATTCTTAGGTTTAACAAAAAAATGTTTGACAGAAATATAACATTTCTTATTCTGATCTTGCTTGTGATTTCAAAGGAACTCATCCATAACTTTCCTTTTGTTTTGAATTGCGGACTTTAGTGATGTAACCATATGTTATTAAGGAAGAAGTGCATAAAATTTGTCAATCATAATCTAATTCAATATATCGAACATATCAATTATGTTCACAATTGTTGCCAAAATTTTCCACCAAAATTATTTGGCGCCTTGCTTCCATTATATTTTTGGCAAAGATCATTATTATTTTACGTGCATTTTGACATATTACGACAATTTTTATGTTCTTTATATTTTTATGGTAGTTATTTTCTCACCACTATCTATGCAAAAAAGCTAAACACAGACTGTTGTAAAAATCTAACAGCAACGTGCAATTGCATTATCCTTCTACTCGACAACAATATTGGAGCCCACAACAAAAGGGTAAACGTTGCAAAAGACTTGTGACAATGATTTTTATTCGTTACAAAAAGCAGTTTTCCTTGTACTGATTTTTTCTCTAACTACAGAATTTTTAGCAACAAATATTCATTGTCCAAAAAGTAGGCCCTATTGGTCGCCTTTTTTGACAAATATTTAGCTTTTTTACAAATATTCATTACAAATATTTTGTTGCAAAAAATAAAAGTTTGTCGTCATATCTTTCCCACCAAAAAATATTTTGGCACTTTGCTTTCTTAATGTTTTATTATTAGTCGCCTTTTTTGACATATTACGACAACTTTTTATATCACCTTATATTTTTGTTTGCTTATTTATTTCATCGCAATTTTTGAGACAAATTTTAGGAATGTATCGCACTTAATCTCTTATTGTGACAACTTGTTGTCCCTCACAAATTTTATTGTCGCTAAAACACATTTTTGTCGTAGTGCTCAGTCTTCGAATCCATAGCATGCCGATGCTACACATAGTTCAACTAGTCTGTTAGCTTGCTTTGATCAGTTCATACTGAAAATTAGTACTATTAGGTCAAAGTTTTCTTTTAGTACTTATTTAATGGGTGACGCCGGGCACAATAGTAATTATTCTGCAAGTTAGTTCTACCAGTGAATTTACAGGGAAGAACACAAGATTAATGCCCAAA